ACCAGGTGGGGAACTGGAATGCTGAAAGACGAGGCTTTCTACACCTATGAAGAATTACAGTCTACCATAGAGGCAGCTCTGCCCTGTCCTACAGGGTCACTGTGAGTCAGAATTTACTCATAGTGGAATCGATTTTTTGGTTTGTCTCTGTCATCTCTCTCTGTCCTGTAGCTGTCATATATCTGTCCATGTGAATATAAATAAAAAGGTTGGCCAGTAGTTACTTGTTCATAAAAATTAGCTCAATCACAAAGTGTGTCTACTACCTACCTATAGTAGACCTTGCTATAAAGTGTATCTACTAATATGTCTCAATAAAACAAGACTGCTTATAATAAATAAGTATATGTACTACCTAAGCCCAAAAAACAAACCCACTTCCATCCAGCTGATTCTACTACCTAATGACATACAAAAAACCCCACCTCACTGCCATTGAGTCAATGCCGACTCAAAGAGACACCCCCACCCGCTCCCATGGGTCTCCAAGGCGGAAACTATTGATGAGAGTACAAAGCCCAGCTTTTCCTCTGAGGAGCGGCTGCTGGTGTCAAACTGCTGACCATGCGGATCGCAGCCCAACAGATAACCCCTGCACCACCAGGGCTCCTTGTAGTAAACGCCAGAGAACACCCGTTCCTGGGAAATCACGCTCTTTCCATATCATTTTCCCACGAACTCTCCCCGCTGTCAGTCCCCTCGTGCTTGGGGTGGTGTTAGGTGCTGCCCAGGGTGAGGCCGACTGATAGCACCCTGAGAGCAACAGAAGGAAACAGGGTCTGGCCCTGGGCCATCCTCACACTCATTGTGAGGTTTTGAACATTTTAGTAGGAGCGCGTACAGATCACAATCCACGGTTCCGTTAGATCGAGCATACTTGTACAGTTGCTGCCCTCTTCGTTCACTATTACCTTAGAGGCCATTGTTTCAGCCCCTGTGCCCTCCATCTCCTCATTCACACTGACCCTCTCCTTCACAACAAGCGTGATGTCCCCTGTGCCCTCCATCTCCTCATTCACACTGACCCTCTCCTTCACAGCAAGCATGATGTCCACTGTGCCCTCCATCTCCTCATTCACACTGACCCTCTCCTTCACAACAAGCGTGATGTCCACTGTGCCCCTCCATCTCCTCATTCACACTAACCCTCTCCTTCACAACAAGCATGATGTCCACTGTGTCCCTCCATCTCCTCATTCACACTGA